ACTGGGTTGGTGTGAGGGTCAAATGACATTCATGTCACAGTGCTTAGATGCTCGGATGGATGAAATAACGTGTCAGGGTGAGTAGGAGATGCTGTGGAATATTTTGAGAGAAATTGTGGTAAGCTCAGGGGAAGAGCAGTTATTAAAATTTAAATCAAATATTGGAAGTAATCATGACCTTGAGTAATCTCTTCCTTGAGGAAGAGAGAGAGGTGGTAATGATAATGGTAAAAAGATAATTTACATAGAAGGCTAGAACTTACAACATGCTAATCCATCTGGCCTCATTTAATCTTTTTTAAAAATTTTTAATGTTTTTTCTTTCTTTTTTTTTTTTTTTCTGAGAGAGAGCGAGCGAGTGAGCGAGCATGAGCAGGGGAGGGTCAGAGAGAGAGGGAGACACAGAATCTGAAACCGGCTCCAGGCTCTGAGATAGCTGTCAGCACACAGCCCGACGTGGGGCTCGAACCCACAAACCGCTAGATCATGACCTGAGCCGAAGCTGGACGCTCAACTGACTGAGTCACCCAGGCGACCCTAGCCTCATTTAATCTTTATGGGGATTCCATAAAGAAGAAGTTGCTTCAGTTTTAATAATGGAAAACCTGAAGCTCAGGGGAGAAGAACCAGTAATCCAGGTTATTTGGTGCCAGTTCCTGTGTTTTTTTTTACCCATATCTGATTTCCTTTTTCTTAGAAGCCTTTGTGAGTTGTCCCTTCTCATAAGTATTATGTTTTACACAATAAAGTGAAGTAGTGAAGACCTTTCTGTACGTTTAACAAAGATCTGATGATCCATAAACGAAGACACTTGGAAGCTGTCATCAAAGGATTAATAGAATGCCCCTAGTCTTACCACCTTATTAAGACAGAATTTTAAACAAGGTGTATTTATGTCAAGGGGTTGAACAGAAAATGGTATTCTAAACTCTCTCTGTTGTCATTAGAGAATTAAAAGCCAAAAGACTTGCAGATACAGCTCAAATCAGGTATTTAGTTGGACACCTACCATTGTGTGTCCTCTATGGCCGCTGTATTTACACGTGTGTACCCATATAAAAGGGATGTGAGGGAGAATGTACACATGTGTAAAAAGAATAAATAAACCAATCTGGATGTGGTAACAAATGACAGCATTAAACCCATCAGTGAAGGTTGATCATTTGTAAAAGGACTTCAGTGCCACCCACATCTTCGTTACAATTGGTGGGAGCTGTGTATACACTGTGTACAAGATCCTTATAATTTCAGGAGGTACCCTCCCCTGCACACCAAATATACCAGGGTGGCTGGGGGGAGGCTTGCTCGGGAGTCACATGTCACCCTGCCACTTAACCCCGCAGCGTTGGTCAAGTTACCACCTCCTTATGCATCTATAAAAACAGATGATACTAGTAGACTGGTCCTACGGAGTTGTTAGTATTAAATGAGATTCAGCTCATGTATGTTTAACTCTCTGCCTGTCTCCGTACCAAAGACTGAAATATTAGGTATTTGTTCTTAAATATTTCTTAGAAAAGTGAACACATTTGATGTGTAAAGAACATGAAATAAAAATTCCAGAATGGTTAGATAATTTCTACTTAGTAAAAGGAAAGAGATTAAGGTTGTTTAACCTGTGGAGGAATGTATTGACTATAACTCATTGGTCTAAAATTGTCCTATTACCAAAGAAATCTGCTCTGAATATTTAGTGGAGGTATACATGAGAGAAGGTGTGGAATTTCCCCGACTCCATACCTGGAGGGATTTATTTTATTTTTATGATTGGATTCCTATTCATTCATGGGATTTTGGCCTGAGACGGGTGATCCTCTGGTGATGTTCCCTCAGAAGGGTCCCGAGAGGAATAACTGCTCCATGTCTGGAGTTCCTGGCACTCTGGGTTTGTGACTCGGTAATGGTGCTTCTGTGCTGATGCCTTCTGTGAGGTGCTTACGGGTCCGTCCTTGTCAGTCGCTGCTTTTTATCCTTGACAGTAAGCTCTGGGGCCCATTCGCCTTCTGATGATGGAAGGAAGAGCACTTTAACGTACCGTATTCATTTGTGCCTCTCGGCAAACCATCAGGATGGTGCGCTTATTGACTCCTATGGCGAGGAAACAGGCATCTGAAATAACTTGCCCCAAATTGCATCCCTACTGAGTGAGGGAGTTGGAATATAAATACTACTGTCTTTAAAGCCACTGCTACTGGGGCGCCTGCGGGGCTCAGGCAGTTAATCATCCAACTCTTGATTTCCGCTCAGGTCAGGATCTCACCGTTCATGGTGGGTTCAAGCCCCGCATTGGGCTCCGTGCTGACAGTGAGGAGCCTGTTTGGGATTCTCTCTCTCCCTCTCTCTGCCTCTCCCGCACTCGCACATGCCCTCAATCTCTCTCTCTTTCTCTCTCTGTCTTTCTCTGTCTCTGTGTCTCTCCCTCTCCCTCTCTCAAAATAAATTAACAACAAAAAAGCCACTACTGCCTTTAGCTGTGTTTCCCTTTTACCCCATACCTAATCTGTGCAAGACATGCTACTATGCTCTGGAAAAGACAAATTCATGAAGTACTCATGGTCTCTGCCATGATTTAATAAGCTATAATTTAGTATTTTTAAGAAAAGGCAATGTAAATTGTAAATTTAAGTTAGTACTAAAGTGTAAGAGAATAGAAAGGGGGAGGGGCATTATGCTATTGAGGTCAAGTGAACAGTGTGGAGGCCACTCTCGCGATACAGACAGGGGCCGCCAAATCCTTGAGATGCCAGGAAAGAACAAGTGGAAAATGAATGTGGAGACAAGCCCTGTGGGCAAGCCTGGAGAGAATGGGGCTGGTTGACTCCCTGAGCAGGTGTGGGAGCCACAGGCTGGTAGAGAGGGGCTCGGGGTCCCACCCAGGGGAGGCGGGATGCCTGTGGCCTCTCCTCCGAAATACAGCGGGCAGGTGCGGACCGAGGGCTTCGCTCAGAAACCGCCAGGTCAGAGCGCCTGTGGGGAAGAGCTGTCCTTGTGGGGGTGAGCTTGGGCTTGCTGCCAGGGGGCGGAATCGGGGCACAAGGCGAAAGGACACAACGGAAGACTTCTGCCGCCCTGAGACCCGACCTTCGGAGAGTTGCCCCTGCTCTCCTGCTGCGAGAGCGGAAAGTGGTGACAGGATGAGGCGTGGGAACACAGGCAAAAACGGTGCCCGTCTGAACAGAGCAGGTGTAGCTGGGCTCGCTGGCCTTGGGGCAGCGTCCCCACCACGTGACTTCAGGGTGCCGAGCCGGTGCCGTGCGATTCAGGGTGCTGCCCCAAGGCTTCAATCCTTGAGCAGAAAGGGGGTCGGGCTGAATGGCACCTGTAGAGGTGGCACTAACTGCTGAGGCGTGGGATCCCCTTTGTCCAAGTCCATTGGCAGACACGCCATCCATATGCAGCTGATTCCCCGATCACCTCTAATTGCAGTTAGGTTTGCTTTATTCACGCCATCTTTCCTTCAGGTCGTAGCTACCTGGGCCTTAGTGCATATCGAACCCTTTACCGGAACTTGTCTCCCCGTTTTTTCCTAGCGTTTTCACTACTGATACCTGAGTGGTTAGTTAGTCTAGGCATTAAATCTTCCAGGAAGACGCCCTGGATGCTTGCCCACACCCCATTCCTCTGTATTCCCACCGAACCCTGTGCTCACTCGTATCACATCCTTTTGCAGGTATTTGCTTGATTGTCTTTCTTATAGACTCCATCCCTGGGGGAAAGGGTCGTACCTTCTTGGTGCATAACCTGGCACATAATAAGTGCACAAAAAAGTTGCTGAATGAATGAAAGATGGTCTCATAGCTTACTTTGAAGTAAGTGAGTTTTCAAACCTAGGACTTTTGACTTGAGACTCAATCTGTGGTTTTTGCACTAGGACTGAGTGTATGCATAGAAGTAGGGAAAAAACATTGACTTTTTCTCAAATCCACCTACCGGAACCCAAGAAAATTTCTCTAATTGGTTTTTATCGGTACTCTCAGAATGTTTCCTAATAGAATCAAGGGAGAAATGTCAGGCTAGGTTTGGTAATACAGACTCGACGTTGACAAATATCCCGTGTACCTAGGAATAATGGCACACACATTAGAAATGCTGACAGCTTACTACAGTTAGGTGTGATTCTGAGAACCAAAGGTAGATTCTGGAGTTTTTCCCCCTAATTTGCTTATATTAAAATATATACCACGTCTTCCTAGGAATTGGGAGTGATTGAATTGCTGTTGTTCAAGTATTAGGCTCCCTGTTAAACAATTCAAAAATCCCGGCTGAGCTGTTCTTGCTTTGCTGACACGCCCCGACCCGCTTTAATGTAAATAAATGTGGCCAGTTAATCACTTACTTTTCTTTCCTGTCAGCTGCCGAATTCTCGGTTTTGTTCTGTTTGAATGATTTTATTGTTGTTAGAGAGGCTGTAAAGAATTATAGAACAATATCCCACTGAGCTCGAAATTGAGCAGAGGGAAAATTGGCTAGTTGCTCTCTTATGCCACTAGAAGTGTTCTGTGATTTCAGGAACAGGGACGGGTCCTTTCCCTAACTCATCCCTGGGGAGAACACTTTTCTTCTCAGTTCTCTTGGTGTTTAGAGTGGCTTTATTGAACTGCATCTTAGTTATTGAGAACACTTAGATGGTCCAAAGAAAAATCATCCAGGGGCCGTGATGACAACAGTTACTTCAGGGTGAATTATTATAAATGATCAGGTCATTGGGAAACCAATCTAATGTAGGATGATGAGAGTTGAAAAAACAAGTGTATGTTACTCTTTCAGTGGGTGGATGTTTAAGGTGGAAGGAGAACAGAGCAGGAGTCCAGAAGCCTCCTTCCAGACTCCTTTCTGTGTCTCGTGTCTGTGGTCTGCAAAATGCACGGGCTCTCGCGCTGGTACCTCAGGGTGGCTTTAGGCCTTGATTAAACGGCAGCGGGGGAAGAGGCAGACAGGTGCCCAGTAGACATGATTGTCTTGTTACTTTATTTTGTTACAGCCTGTTGTTTTTGTTACAGGCTGATCCCAAAGAGCTCATCAAGATGGTCACCAGGCACGTGACTCAATACGGACAGGACGCCTGGCCAGAGGACCTTGTCTCACTGACCAGGCAGTTGTACTACTACAACGAACGTCTCCTGGATTTCACGCAGGCCCAGATCCTTCAGGGCCTTCGGAAGGGTGTGGATGTGCAGCGGTTTACTGCAGACGACCAGTATAAAAGGGAAACTATCCTTGGTCTGGCAGAGTAAGGGATACCTGTGTCTCATAAAGGGATGGATTTAAAACATAAAAGAACAGGTTGAATGATCAGGACTGTTACTCACAGTCCTTTGAAGGTTTACATCCATGGCTGTGATGTGTAGGGCTTTCCTTCTCCCTGTGGTTTGAGGGACCTGTGGATGTTCCCAGTTGGATCAGTCAATGCAGACAACGTTGGGAACCTGCAGCTTTAAATAACAAGGGCGGGAACTATTTTAAAAGTTTCCCATGATTTGGATAGCCCAATACTGAGATAAGAATCTTATGGTAGCAGGATTAGGGTATGATCGCCATGAAAAATGTGAAGCTTATTATAGACATTTAAAAACAAGATTGGCTTTTATTCCTGGAAATCTCACTTTTCAAACTACATGGCCGTTTAATTTCTTCCGTGTTGAAAATGAGATGTTGTTTGACCGAGTGCCAGAGGAAGGACCCCGTGTCTAGGTTCATGGCACTTCATCTGTCCTGGGTTTCCAGAGGAAGGGAGCTGACGGGCCCTGGCGGTCTCTCGTGTCGGAAGCCAGTAACATCTGCCACTTTCCGCCTTGTCGCTTACCCCTTCAGCAGCAAGCCCTGTGTGCGATGAAGTACAGGCTAAGACCCAGTGAGAAGTGTTTCCTTGTACATGTGGAATGCCCCTTGGTTTTAATACTGGTCCCCATTTTCTTTAGTTTATATCAAATGAAAACCACTTACATGTCAGAAAGTGGGAAAGTGGAAAAAACGAAAAATACAAAATACAGATTAAAAAGAAAGTAAGATGGGAAACTGCTCACCCACAATGGTTATTAAGTAGAGTTGTTTGGTTTTTAACATCACAGTTTGTGGAGCACTTCCCATGGGCAAGGAGCGGTGTTAGGTGCTCTATAAACCTTATTTTGTAAATCTCTATTACTCTCAAACATAACCCTGTGGCATAAGATGCTATTGCCATTTCATAGCTGAGGAACATGAGACTTAGGAGTGTGAGGTAACTGGCCCAAGTTTACATGGGTGGTAAGGGTCATCACTGTGATATTGACCTTGGCCTCGATCTCTCACATATGGAAGCCATCACATCTTCACAACGCCCCGTGTGCGTGCCCCTCCCCCCCACGATGGTTGTATTTCCAGGGAAGCAAGGCCTGCAATTCAGTCTGAGCTTCCAGCCTCTGAAGCTTGGGTTGAATTGTGGTACCCTTGCCTCCTGCTACGTTACTTTAAAATAACAAATGTAGCCCTGGTTATGGTCATGGTATATGCTATTTTTCATTATTATTATTTAAATCTTTAAGAAAGTAGCAAAGTACCCTTGGCGCTCTGTAATAACTTTTACATGAGCCCAAGCTTCTTTCTTACCATAAGCACCCCAAATTGTCTTCAAAGCATGGAGAGCGGGGTGCGGGGAGGGGCAGAGAGCGAGGGAGACAGAAGACCACGCAGGCTCCGCCTTGTGGGCGCAGAGCCCGGTGTGGGACTCGAACTCACAAAACATAAGATCATGACCTGAGTCCAAATCAAGAGTCAAATGCTTAACCCGCTGAGCCACCCAGGCACCCCCACCCCAAATTCTCTTTAGAGTAAGGTGGGGTATAGACAGATCAAAGAAAAGATAGAACAGTCTGTAGTGGGATTTAGTTTAAAAAATTATATGGAATATGTTTTTTCTCCCCCTCTCTGTTCTCCTGGAGGTTCATGATGTCATGGAGCCATTTAATGTCTAATTTGAAAGTGACTGAAGGGGTCACTGAATCTAAGCTCCTCACTTTCAGAAGAGGAATCTGAGAACCAGAGAGCTTTAAACAGTTGTTCAAGGTGACACAGCTGTGGGGGGAGTGGGGGTGAGACTCAGTTTCCCATTGCCAAGTCCACTGGGCCTTTCTTCCCGGCATTTGGTCATCCTTGGTGTGCCATCCATGCTCGTGGTTTCTTAGAAGAAGGTTATTATACAGGATGCAGGTTACAAGGTACAGCATGTCTTAGTATCATCTGTTATATTTTGCCAGGGATTTGGTCCTTTATTTTCTTTCCTAAGTATCCAGGATGCTATTTAAAGTATGTCCTAGAGGACAAATACATGCTTTTGATAAAACATACAATAGAACATTCTCCATGGTTTGTTACCTAGAAGAATATCCAGTATTCTTTGAATGGCTTGTTCAAAATGCCAGAGTGTCCGTGGCATTTTTGAGTTAGCAGTTCCGATTAGGAGACAGGCATTCTGTATGTTGCATACAAAATTCCTTGAAGTTGGGATGCCTGGGTGGCTCAGTTGGTTGGGCGTCCGACTTCGGCTCAGGTCATGATCTCACGGTTCGTGGGTTTGAGCCCCGCGTTGGGCTCTGTGCTGACAGCTCAGAGCCTGGAGCCTGCTTCAGATTCTGTGTCTCCCTCTCTCTCTGACCCTCCCCTGCTCACGCTGTCTCTCCCTGTCTCTCAAAAATAAACAAAAACATTAAAAAACAATTAAAAACAACAACAAAGTTCTTGGAAGTATCTGCTTCCTCTGGTCCTGCAGCCCCACCTTCACTGTACACAGCATGACCAGTCTTTGTTGCGAATTGTGTTTCCATTTTGATGGTGCGGGCCTTCTATACGTGCATTCTGTCTGTCCTTTATTGTCTGTATATCTTACATGATAGGTTGTCAGTGGTTAGTCGGTAACCTTGAGGAGGGTACAACAGAGCTTGGTTTCTTTCCACCTTTATCTGACGATAATGATACGGGCACCTGGTGAGCATCCCCATGGCCAGGCATGGTGTCAGACTCCCGTAACAGAAAGGACAAATTGCTAACAGTCGCTGTTTCAAGGATTTCTCATTCCATAGAGCATACGCAATAAATACTTGAAGAAATTTTTGATTGGCAGTGCCCTAGTACTTCGTGCAAGGACAGACTTCCTCCAGCCATGGGCCTGTGTTTTACAGTCCATGTACACAGAATGGCTTTTAACATTTTTAAGGGTTTGTGGGAAAACAAGCATAAAAAAAAAATAAAGTGAAAAGAAGAATTTTCTACAGAAGCTGTACAGCAGCGAAGCCTAAAAGATTTACTATCTTGCTGTTCACAGAAAATGTTTACCAGCTGTGCGCTAATCAGACATCTAAGGAAAAGTCCTGTTTTCCTCAGCTAGTGTGGGTATGGTCTTAGCAGTATCGCTTCATAAGAACAGAAGATATTTCCTTTCTGTTCCTACGGTTTTGTCCACCAACCTTGCAAACAAGAATTTCATCCTTAGAATCTCTCTGTGTCTAGGACACAGAGGTGCTGCAGCAGTCTTTCCAGAATGGCCTTCTGTGGATGCTGTGGCCCAGAATTCCTTATAAACCTAGAAGACCTCAAGTCTGGTGACGCCATGCCCTGGTTTAAACCTTCCCCTGCCAGTAGGATAGGGTGCGTGTCCCCGAGGAGGACGCCCCCGCCTCCAGCGCCTTCTCTCAGGAGCCTGCCGTCTCTTCTCGCGTAACTACCTGCCCTCAGTTTTGCTTCTTTGTCCCCCAGTCTTCAGCTCAATTCGGTCACTCCCTCATCTCTGCCGTCCGTGTCTGAAGTCCTCTCTGGTGGCACTCCCCCGCGGCCCCGTCGTGTTTAGTCCCTGGCTTACGTCTCACATCCTCCACTGGGCTGTGAGCGCCTCAAGAAGTATCTTGTTTGTCTTTGTATTCTGCGTAGCTAGCACAGTCCTGACACAGTCTAGAAAAACACAAACATTTGTTGAGGGACTGGCCGTGCTTTCTCAGATACATGCCTGTAGGGCAGGGATACATTTCCTTTGCACTGGTTTGCCTGTGGGCTCTGGCGTCTACACCAGAACGTCTTGACCTCCATACGTATTGGACCAGATAATGCCTTGTGGGAGAGCCATTCTGTGCCTTGCGGAAAGTTCCACAGCATCCCTGTCCTTCGCCCGCTTAGATACCGGTAGTACTGCCCTCCTCTCCTGCCATGAAAATCAGACCCAATCACATGTCCCCTGGGGGACAGAATCCCCCTCGGTTGAGAACCACTGTTCTGGACACTTCCTTAGTTGCAGCGCGCCGCAGTGAGAAAGGAGCATTAGCATTCATCAGAAGTACTTTTCCTGAGTTGCTGTGAAATGTCTTATTAAGGCCCATGCAGGCTGCACCCCCGCAGCTGGAGAAAGTCCTAATGAACAATTTCTTTGCTGATTAAGGGTAATGTGTTTCTCTTCTCTCCCTTCCCCGTGGCTGATGGACATTCCTGAAGAACACTTGAGGAGAACGTCTACGGCATCGCCCTCTCTCTGGCGCAGCGCTACAGTGTCTCTCGTTGGGAAGTTCTTATGACGCATTTGGAGTTCCTGTTCACGGACAGCGGGTAGGCACACAACTCAGATGTACGCTTCTTTCCGTGTCCATCTTTTCTAAATTCCGTTTTAGAAGGAGCTTGACATCTTAAAGTACAATCTCACGTTTCCTTTTGAGCTACAGTAGGCTGGTATCTGTGCATTCTCTCTTTATAGGTTTCCTGATACACCCATATTCTAACAGAGGTTTATTAGTTTTTGTTGTTCAGTAATAATCGTCCTGAGTTACTATGTTCACGTGTTTATTGAGAGTTTGTGTGTGTTTTAATTTTTTAAAATGTTTTATTGAGAATCTACTGTGTGCCAGGAGCAGCGTTGATACTCAGATTGCAGCAGTGAGCAAAACCCGGCATCCCAGCTCTCTCGGAACCCGTGGTCTGTGTGGGAGACAGATTTCAATTGGATAATGATGAACAAATGTGAAATGAAGAGTGATGAGTGCCACATAAGAGAGTCCAAAGATGGAATTTAGCATACTTAGGAAAGACTTTGCTGAAGCAATAATGCTCAAGCTGAGACCTGAATATGGAGTCGAAATTATGTACACTGCAAGATGGGAACCATTGTGTAGGGAGACAGAAAGTGAAGGTCTAAAGCCCTTTGACAGGAAGGAACAGGATGCGTGTGAGGGCTTCCCAGGCGGATAGCATGGCTGAGGTCCAGAGAGTCGGGAGCACAGGGTGAGATAGGACCGTGGAGAAGCCTAAAAGCCAGACCATACAGCAAGGCTACAGGCCTGTCGCTTGAGTCCTTGGAAATGGGTGAAGGATTTTGGTATAGGAGAGGGAGGCGATGTGATCAGGTCTGCATTTCAGTAACATCGCTTTGACTCCCATGTTGAGAAAAGGTTTTAGGGAGACCAGGCAAAAAGAGACCAGGGAGCCATTAGAGTAATAGACTATGACAGTTGACCACAACTTGGGGTAGGGTTTTGAAAGTCCAGAAGGAGAGAGGAGAATGGGTTTCCAATATATCTAGAAGGTGAAATGGTTAGGGCTAAATGCAGTGATGGGCAAGGGCAATGAGAGGGGAAGGGTCAAGATCAGTTCCAAGATCTTACTGGGTCTGCCTTTTGGGTGGTGACGTCCTTCAGTGAGACGAGTAGCAGAGTTACGGACAAGACATTTTGAGGGAGTGTGAGGAGAAGACAAGGAACCAGGGAAGTTACACTCATTGAAATGGTCAAGAGGAAATGTTGGGCAGATGCCAGATCTTATCGCTCTGGAATTCCTGGGAGACTGAAGAGCTGGAAATACTAATTTGGGAGTGGTATGCAAATAGATGATAAATAAGCTATGTTGTGGGTACACTTTGGGAAAGAATATGGAATGAGAAAGGAGAGAGACTTAAGACAGACCTTGAGGACCTTCCACAATTAGCAGATGAAGAGGGACAGAGAGAGCAACAGAGAAGTTGGACAGAAAAAAATGGGAATCCTTGTGCTAAGGAAGCCATGCAAAGAAAGAGTTGAAGGAAGAGGCGGGAGTATTGAATGAGGTCAAATCCTGCTGAATAGTCATGAATGGTATATAATTAAGGCCCAGGTCATGATCTCGTGGTTTCAAGAGTTTGAGCCCTACATCGGGCTCTGTGTTGACATTGCAGAGCCTGCTTAGGATTCTCTCTCTCTCTCTCTCTCTCTCTCTCTCTCTCTCAGCCTCTCCTCCACATATGTGTGCGCTCTCAGAATAAATTTAAAAAATAAACTTAAATACATATAACTCATCATTTTAAATTTTTATTAAATCTTTGCAATGTTAGCATCTCCATTTCAAATGTTTATGGAGTTGCTACCTGGATGATAGTCTTATCTGTATCTTATTGCACTGACCTCACCATTTTTTGAAGCCCAGTAATATGCACATTGAAATGTAAAAATTCCTTGGCATTTTATTAAATACCTTTTTCCTGTCATTGAATGTTACATAAAAGGGTATCATTTCTATACAAACAGGATGCTCCATTGGTCTCTGAATTTATTATAAATTATCAAGCAATCTACTAATGTGCAAGACTGTTCACAGTGTATCATTATACCTGAGAGCAGTGGGATTATGGAGACGCACAGCAATTACAAAAGCAGGAAATCATTACCTCCTGGCGTCATTACTTGTGAGTGACAAAACACCTAATATTGATTTAGCAAGTGGTGTTTGGTGCTCCTCATCCCTTACTTAAAAGACATAGTTTGCCTTCCTGTTTAATCACACTTGGTAACACAGGCATTTGAAACCAGCCTTGTTAATAGAATAGAAATTGCCCAACATTTACTTGTTGAGTCAATGCCTATGGGAAGCTAATAGGTCAGAAAAATAATGTTCTTTTCCTGAAGATTTTGTTTCTCTGTCTCTTTAAAAAGTCATTTTCCCTGCAAAGTTGATTTCTCTATCCTTTTACATTCTCCTTCCTATTGGTTGAATTTGGAGATATTCCCTGCCCCCACTCTTGGACAGAGAAGCATGCGCCATCTTGGGTGAGGCTGCATTATGCAATAGAGCATAACCTTCAATCAACATAGCTGGATCAAATCCTAACTGTCTGTCTCTAGCTGTATGTCCCTATGCAAGGTAATTCAGCTCTCAGGAACTTATTTTCCTCAGCTCTAAGGTATAATAAAAATTAAATGACTTCACGGTAAAATATCAAACCTGCATCTCTTTTCACATGACCAGGGCATCATTACTTGCAGTTATTCCTGGAGTTCCACTCCTATAAGAAGGAAATAATCATTATAAATACCCGTGCTTGAATTCCTTGGTCTTCTTTTTCCCCTTATTTTCCCCCCATGTTTTTCTTCATAGTCACTGTAAATCTTCATGATGGCTGTGAATGGCCATGTGTGCCCGGAATCCCCTCCAGCTGGCACACACTGGCTGCTCTGCTGGGGCGTGTCCAGCCCCCCCGTGCTCAGGGCTGACGTATCTACCCCTCACTGCGGCCTTGGTGGCCAGCTTCACTTCTGGGATCTTCCGGATGCTTCAGTGGATCTCACAGACATCATTAACTACCAGTGTGTGTGGCTTAGCGTGAGGGCATGGATTTTGGAGTCAGGCAACATTTGGTTCAGATCTGCTGCCCGTAACCCCAATTATGTAGCTGTGAGCCAGTCTTTTAATCCTCTTGAGTCACTGTTTTCTTAGTGATCCGACCATTATCCTTACCTTGTAAGGGTGTAAAGACGAGAGAAGGTTCTGTGGGGCGTGCACAGCCTGGTGGCTCCCGTTGCATTATCCTGTTGTTCTTGTGGTCAGTTCTGATGACTCTGTGAGCGTCTGTAAGTTTTGGATACAAGACCAGTTTTGAAATCCCAGAGGATGCTTCTAGGTGACTGACTAGTACCTCATTTGTTCACTCATGACGTCCTGCTATTTTTATAGTGGTTTCCTAGTCTAAGCTTAGGTTTAAGCACTGAAGGAGACCGACACATCATTACCCTCACAAAGCTTCTACTGTAATAGGGGAGATGGCCCCACTCCCAACACACCACACACACACACACACACACACACACACACACACACACACACACGAAAATAGCCAAAAAGTACATTGCGAGTCCTAGTAAGTGCCCTAAAGGAAGCGCGCAAGTTGCAGATAGCAGGCTAGGAGGTGGGAACAGATGGTGGGGCAGGAAAGATCCAGCTATTTTTGAGTCACTAAAGGGAGACCGTTGTGGCTAGAGCACGTGGCACCTTAGGGAGCACAGGAGAACTAAATAGGGGCCAGAACACCCTTTGCCGGTCATCCTTGGTAGCGCCCTCCATTGTTTCCCTTTTTTTTTTTCCCAAATACTTTATTGTCAAATTAGTTTCCACATAACACGCAGTGCTCATCCCCACAAGTGCCCTCCTCCATGCCCATCCCCCCTCCCCCCCACATCCATCAGTCCTCAGTTTTTGTCAGCATTCAAGAGTCTCTCATGGTTTGCCTCTCTCCCTTTCCCCCACCATTTCCGCCCTTCTTCTCCCCCTCGTTCCTCCATCAAGTTCCTCCTAATCCTCCTATAGGTGCAAACATATGATATTTGTCCTTCTCTGCCTGACTTATTTCGCTCAGCATAACACCCTCAAGGTCCATCCACATTGCTACACATGGCCAGATTTCATTCTTTCTCATTGCCATGTAGTATTCCATGGTATAGATAAACCACATCTTCTT